CAAAATAAAATTTTTTTAACATCTACACCTATTTAAAACAATGTAATTTATTTGAGTATTAGAGTGTTATACAAAGTTTAATCAAATCAAACCAATTCAATGTGGTGTAGACAATAATTGAACAACTTAAGTCTCACAAAAGCATAATTAAAAAAATTATTTTGCTCGTGAGCAACCAGAAAAGAAATTTAATCACTTGGTTGTCTCAGTTAGTGGGTCAAAGTTTAAACAGACAATATAGCCCCACACATTTTAATATTTAATTTTAAAAGAAAAGGCTTAAAACAAAAACAAATTTTACATCAGTCTCTTGTGATAACACATGAATCTTCAAATGGGACAATCATAAAAGTTGTGGAAAAAATAATAAATAAATATTAATGCTTAATATCAGTGTTGCCTGATATAAAACTGACTTGACACCAGAAAACTATGGAACTTGACATGCTACACTCTAATTATTTCTTTGATCCAAATTACTGCTGAGTTGTAAGTAACTTTCAGAATAAAAACATGTCTTAGTTCTACTGGTCAAGATTTGCATTAGATGAAGTGCACCAGATTTGTCCTTGCTGTCATGCTGATAGGAAGGTGGTTTCCTAGGTTTCTCTTCTGTTGATGAATATGGAAAAATATCACAATATTTCTTTAGAAGATTGCCATCACTTTAATTCATCAAAATGTCTTTAAATAAAGATATCTTTATACTGTAAAAGAATATACATGTATTAAATACCCAACTGCAGGAATCATTTCAATGAGCAAAATGGGACACTTTTTCATTTTGTCCACTATGCAGATAAGGCAACTGCTCCTGACATAAGTATTTGATTTAATTAATTAATTAATTAAGAAACAATTTACCTTAGCTGTCAGCTGTGGTACTATCACGAGGAGGGTGGGTGGGAACACTTAGAGGAATAGGTAACGCGCTTGCCTTTCAGACAGAAGGTTGCAGGTTCGATTCCTGGCGCCACTGGGTCCCATCAAATTACCTTTTGCAAAAAATAAATCAAAATATAGAATTTCGACTTCTACAAAACAGTGCTACGATCACAGGATAGTAAGAGGAGTTCTGTAGTTAAGAAAAATAACTTCTATTTTGTTCATGAAACAATATAGCACATTTTTTATTGCACAAATGAATACAAAAAGTAACAGCATTGTTTTCACAAAATATGATAAAATTAGGAATATCCTTTTTTCCACATTAACTGCAATTTCATAAAACGTATCATGAAATGTGAATTAAGCTTTTATGTACAAACAAAAATTGTTCTCTATCTAACTAAAACGTCGAAATTCTATGCATTTTGAACATTTCTACTTTGCCGGCGTAGATTTATAAAGGAGTTCAGGGATATTATGATAGACATAATACCAACAAGATTAACAATGAAAATTACCAAAAAATTTCCAAAACATGCTTGTCTAAATTCACTGGTGTGATCGATATAGAAAATTCAATATGCATAGAACCTCATCCTATCCCGACGTATGCAAGCACTACGGTATGTCGTCTTGCTGATGTATGCACAACAAGTAAAAATAGGTAATCAAAATAATCAAACTTTGTAAGATAGCTGATTGTTTTGTTCATCGATAAATATTGTTCATGTCTAACACAAATTGTTCTTCACATGTTCCTAAAACATGTATTTCATGGACAAACATCATAATGACATGACAAATTTACAAGCTTATTCCAACCATAGGCATTTTAAAGAATAATTTGCAAAGAAAAGGGAAAATATTACGCAAATAGTAGTTCACTTGAAATATACATTTACTAAGACAATGATAATAAACTTAAGACTGGTCTCCGGTGTTCAGTGATCAAATTACACTCAGGAATATAACTCAACAAGACATGCAAGACTGACACCCGATAAGTTTTTCTTCAATCATCCTCTGGTCGCGATCAAATAGTAAAATAAGAAAATACTAGGTACAAGGCCAACCTTAAACAGAGCGCAGCTCTACACACTTTTGGATAAACTTTTTATATACTGAAAGAATAACAATTGTTCATATTTAGAAGCAAAATACTATGAAAAAGTAATTTTATATGATAATTCAATAAGCTTTCAAAGAATTGGCTAAAAAAAAACTGCTAGCCAAAATTTAAGTAAATTTACGAAAAATGCTTATTTAATTTTTAAAAATTTTCTGTAAATTTGGCTTTTTAAAAATTGTATCATATTCTTTGTTGGGTGTATTGACAGAAATTGGCAATCTTAAAACCTTCATCAAATACTCATTTTTCTAAAAAAAAAAATTTTAAAAATCGAAAATTCAGTGTGTAAAAGTTTCTGATGAATGTCGGTCCTACATAGACCCTTTAATGAAGATAATATTCCAAAATAAAACATTTTCTGTAACACAACGATTTACCTATCTGACCAACCACTACTGCAATAACAAATGCATATTAATTTCGGGAAAATTTCAACTCCTTGGTTTCGTCTCTAAAACCAGGGTGACTTTTGACCCCTCCCCTCATTGAAGCACGAAGTTTATTTTATATGCGTCACAATCGCACATTTAAACTTAAAAATGCATATGTCAAAGGCCCGGATCAAATCTAGTCCTATGCATAAAAAGCCTAGACCCCATGTTTATTACGCCCTGGCTGGGCCCATTCTTTATGGTGTCTTTGCATTGTTAACAGCATAATGGGCAATATATAATGTGCTTGTTGTTTATGTTGCCACACCTACACGGAAATAAACCACTACTAGTACTACATGTACGTGTAGCAAAGTACTCTTCCTGAACACTACTTGGTGATAATTTGATAATAATCAAAACCGATTTAGTACATCAATAGAACAAGCCACTTTTTGCATTGGCAATATTCGTATTAAAAAAGAACTTTAAAAAAAAGTTGTTCTCGTGTCTGAGATCTGACGTGTACCCGCCCCTTAACCAAATGCATCAACAAATTACCATTAAAGCACCATGAGCGGGTAGTGTAGTGTACAACAACTTGGTAACATACATACGTACATATGTATAGTAGCAAAGCAACGACATACAGGGCTGACGCTAAGAATAGAATTAAACGGTGTTCACAACCAGTTGATCCTCGGACTATTATTAAAATATATTGCTCTTGAAAATGGATTCCCCGCCTCCCACGCGTGCCGTCCCAGCAGGGGCGAGCAGTTGAACACAGGCTTGCTTTAAAGTGGGGTTTTCAACTAGTTAGTCTGCGGATCAACTGGTTGTGAACGCGGCCTTAATCCGTTTACGTGAAAAATACTCCTTACATCTGACTTTTCATTTGACACACGTTATGATGGAGAACATTACAACCCAAAGCAAACATAACACTTCATATTAAATTTTAACCCAGCAAATTTACTAGTAGACGAACTCTGACATGCTACAAGTAATCTTGACATGGATGCAGCCGCTGTGGAACACGAGTCTGACGTCATTGATGGAGAACGTATTCAATCTCCTCGTGTGAGGTTGATTCACTGAAATCAAACAAAAAACATTTCACTACTAAACAATGTCTATGGTTTGTTTTCATAAAGCAGTTTTTGATATAATGCAACCGATTTCGTTAATAATATTCAACAAATCGATTTTCAACTTCTAATTTATACGAATATATATACTGAGGTGTATTTCATGTAATCATGGACGTTAGAACAATACCATTTCTATTATTTTACACCATGTACACATTGAAACACTACAACATTCTGTGTCTTTAGAATTACATGTCAGGGAGGGTAGAAAAAGACACTGGCCCTCGGATTACGTATAAGTTTACAGAAGTGAACATTTTACAAATAAACTATTGCCAGGAAGGTTTTGAAATAAAAAAAAAATCGAGATCTATGAAAGAAGAACAACATAGGCACGACATGTACACGTTGGCGGGTAGGGATTTGCCGGTAGTGGATTTTGAATCTCTTCAAATCAAATCAGGACCTACAAATGTAGTTACCTGCCAAAATGTCTCACATTGTTTAATACGTGTTCACAGCTGGAACAAATCTCTCACCACCTGGCAAATACATTCCATCTGAAAATACAGTAAGAACAGATAATAAACTATTCAAACGTCAATCTGAATTTGGACTTTTAAGGGAAAATATTGTTAACGTCAAGACAAAATGTCCCCATGCCTTATGATGATGTCTTATGTGTAAATTGCACCATTTTTGACAGATATCATTAACGCCAAATAAGAAATGTTATCTTCCATCATCTAATACAGTACTTACAACAGTTCGATGCCAATTTCAGTCCCAGATTTTCGACCAACTCGTGGAAACTGTAGCAATGTGACATAAAGCTGCTTTCTTCCCAATCTTTTACTGACCTCGGTCTTTCTGAACGCCTCTCGCCAAAATGCTCACCTGGATTACATAATAACATACAGTTGATCACCTTCTGTACAGAAGCCTCGATTTTAACTTGGGTTGGGCGGTTACGTCTGAAATTCCTTCCAAGAAAAAAAGAAGTAACGATTCATCCAAATGCCTGTAATTGGGAAACCTTGACTTATGTAATCGGCGTGAGGTAACGAAAAGATCAAAAACGAAAGAAAAAAGCTTGGAAATAAATAAAAATGAGCAAAAATGGCCAAACACTGACACACTGTTGTACTTGTGTCTAAAATAAATGCTAGTAAGTAAAATAACACTGGAAATTTTAAGGTAGAGCTGGTGAATTTTTTAGATAAAAAATTATAAAATCAGTAAAGAATAATAGAAAAAAAAAACTTGACAAATAATGAAAAAATGTTGCAGACATTCTGATGTAGTTTGATTATTTGGTTAACGGGAAGACGTGTAGCAACCGGCAATTTGGGGTCATTTAAAGGTACTGCAGGCCAATTTGAAAAAAAAATATTAAAAAGGCTCCCAAAACAAAAAAAAAAAAAAAAAAAAAAAGATGAAATAAGCATAATGTTTAAAAGTTTTTAATATCATTTGAAGTTGACTGATTGAAGCAGACACATAGCAGAAATTCAAAGGAAAAGCATGCACAGTTATCTGTTATCATCAAAAAATACTAATTAATTATACAGACCTTTCAGCAGGAGGTTATGGGAATTTATATATTTGTATATTTTCTAATGGAAAATCTGCTTATTATATTATTCCATTTTTCACAAAAATTATTTAGTTTTTCTAAAATTATAAGTGAAAGGAAAGAGATTAAAGAAACGAGCAGCAATTGAAGATTTTTTTCCCAAAAAACTTTCTTTATTGCATTGAAATAATGAAGAACATACATATTACTGGCATGCATGTACTCAAAAACAAAAAATACTCTTCCACTAGTATCTAAAAATCAAAATTATTATATCTTCATATATAAAGAATAATGCACTAACACTAACAGAAGTAACAAAATCTCAGGTACGGCATCACAATATCTACATTCCTCTTGTCAAACAAATTTTGAAAAATACATCAATAGAACAATTTTAAATATCTGATTTGCTCCATTCTGAGATTCTGCACACAGTGAAGAGATTGAATTTGACAAACTGCACTGATATAATTTTATTTCCACTTTGACTATTTATTTCACAATACACAATAACAGATTTACCATTACTTTTATACAATCAACTAACAAAATTGTTAAGATGCAGAAAACATCAAAGTAACACATTCAAGTATGTTATGAGTTCAATAATGAGACTTTTAACATGTCTAAGAATTGAATCTGAGGAAAAATCACTTATATACAAAAAAACAGCATTACTTCACCAAAGCTACACCTATTAAGATAATTTTCAAATTTAACCTGTACATATGAATGAGCCCAGTGTCTGTACATAAAAATAATATTTTAGTGAATGTTGCAATGGTGAGGGACAAATTTTCTTCCAGCCTTCTTATAGCTTTAATATTTATTAAATATTGATAAAATCCCCATCTGGTGACATCTATATAAGTGTCACATGACATACAGTTTAAAGCCAGAGGAAAAAGCATCAACATGTCTTGTATACTGTAAAATATAAATTTATCTTCTACCCTTTTTCTGAACCAAGACAAAAGTTCTTGGAATGTTGAGTACACCAAGGAAGCCAACACAGATGTATTTCTAGGATAATGTATCAAAACAAACTGCAAAGTGTTATTTTGGATTTTCATCTGGAATCTTCATATCAACTCCCCTGTTACATTGACCGAGTTGTGTCACAAGAACAAATATTTTGTATGGGTTTGATATATCACTTCATAATAAAGTTTTATCATAACTACCAACATCTGTTCTTCTTTATGTAAGATATATTCCCTCCCCAGCTTTGCCTCATCTGTAAAATGATCATCAAGAATTTTAATGCTCAAAAAGTCTTTGGTCTCATAAATCTGTAATCGTGGCTAAAACATCAGTGTTGTTATCATTTTCTGTTACTGAAGGACAGAGTTCTTTATGTGATATATGGACTGTGATCTCTGATGACTGGTTGTCTGCTACCCCATTGGAGTGAGTGGAGCTGGTCATGTCCTTTTTTAGGGGGTTTAGCAGGTTCTAATCCTGTTATACTGTCATGCATTGGGTTGAAGAAATTGGTCGGTTTGTTGTAGTCTTCAAAATTCTCCATTTTGTAGTACTCTGCTCTCATTGCATCCTATGAGAAAAAAGCTGAGCACCTTAAACCTATGAATAAAAAGAAAATTTCCAGTTAAGAAACATGAATATAAAATGTTTTCACAGACAATTTGCAAAAATAAAAATAATAAAATAAATAAATAAATAATAAAAAAGAAAAAAAACAATAAACAATAAAGATAAACAAGCAAAAAACAATAAAAAAGAAACAAACAAACAAAAACCCCAAAAGACAAGATGAAGCTATGCACATGTTTTTCTGCTATATAAACAAATACTGAATACTTCAAAGTTCTGAATCTTCTGCCCTTTGTCCCAACTGAGTATACAATTAAACTGTCAGATCTTTTACTGCTCACACTTCTATACAAAATATGACTATATACTCCATTCTGTGCCACAGAACTGTCATATACAAAGTCTGGCGTGCTGATGGCCACATCATTGCCTCCATGGAAAGCCACTGTTCCTGCAGGTGCCCCAGTCTGAACTCCCCCCCGCCACTGGAATGCAGGGCCTTGCTAATACTAAAATTATAGCAACAACTATTTCAGTATGCAAGGGGATTGTTTGTTATCATTACTAAAATATTAAGATTTGGACTTATAATAAATATTAAATGAATCTTTAAAAAATTGCTGCAATGATTATACCTTATGTGCCTTTAAGAAAAAACTTTGATACTGAATACTGTTTTCTAAGATTCATCTGATATCATCTAAGATGGCTAAACAATTTTTTCTTAAAATTCTTTGCAAGAGAGAGAGAGAGAGAGAGAGAGAGAGAGATCTTACCTTCTTCTTTGCAGAAATAAGAGCACAACAATAATGACCTCTAATAGGATGACCCCAAGTATAATGGGGACCACAATGGCAGCTGTTTCTGAAATAACACATTTACTGGGAATGTTTTAAATCAGGAAGGGAAATAATTCACCAAAGAAGTTACAGGGACTTATTTATATTGATAATTTAACAAGAACAAACAAAACTGACATAAGATGAATTGACTTAGATGCAAAATGTTAAAAGAAACTTACTATGAAATATGATACACAACAAAATGAATTTTAAACACAGTCTTTTTAATTTGACATAATACACATCTCCATACTCCAGCCCATGTTTCTTCCTCGCCAACCATAATACACATCTCCATACTCCAGCCCATGTTTCTTCCTCACCAATCATAACACACATCTCCATACTCCAGCCCATGTTTCTTCCTCACCAGCCATAATACACATCTCCATACTCCAGCCCATGTTTCTTCCTCACCAGCCATAATACACATCACCATACTTCAGCCCGTGTTTCTTCCTTACCAGCCATAAAACACATCTCCATAGTCCAGCCCATGTTTCTTTCTCACCAGCCATAATACACATCTCCATACTCCAGCCCATGTTTCTTCCTCACCAATCATAATACACATCTCCATAGTCCAGCCAATGTTTCTTCCTCACCAATCATAACACACATTCCTTTTGTATTACATCAACCATGAACCAGGCTAAAGTGGCAATTCCTACAGAAATATAAAGAGAGAAATTGAAAATGAAATTAATATAGGCTTGCACATTCACTCATATGAATGAATGGTTGAATGAATAAGATTCATATTAAGAAAATGCTTAAAACGTTAATAATTTGGTCAAATCTTGTTCAATATTTCTGAAATTTAAACAAATGATGCTTAACAAGAATAAAAATCTGTGATAAGTTGATCAAATGACTGTTTTTAATGAAAAGTGTTTTTAAGGACAATATATTTGGGAAAACTGAAAATTGNACACATCTCCATACTCCAGCCCATGTTTCTTCCTCACCAGCCATAATACACATCACCATACTCCAGCCCATGTTTCTATCCTCACCAGCCATAATACACATCACCATACTTCAGCCCGTGTTTCTTCCTTACCAGCCATAAAACACATCTCCATAGTCCAGCCCATGTTTCTTTCTCACCAGCCATAATACACATCTCCATACTCCAGCCCATGTTTCTTCCTCACCAATCATAATACACATCTCCATAGTCCAGCCAATGTTTCTTCCTCACCAATCATAACACACATTCCTTTTGTATTACATCAACCATGAACCAGGCTAAAGTGGCAATTCCTACAGAAATATAAAGAGAGAAATTGAAAATGAAATTAATATAGGCTTGCACATTCACTCATATGAATGAATGGTTGAATGAATAAGATTCATATTAAGAAAATGCTTAAAACGTTAATAATTTGGTCAAATCTTGTTCAATATTTCTGAAATTTAAACAAATGATGCTTAACAAGAATAAAAATCTGTGATAAGTTGATCAAATGACTGTTTTTAATGAAAAGTGTTTTTAAGGACAATATATTTGGGAAAACTGAAAATTGCATTAAAAGACTGGCAAAT